GTTATGATTCCCCAATTTATTTGGTTTCCCACTGCCTTAGATATTGGCAGACAGGCAGTTATTCGCTAGTGTTCTGCATTTTGGCAAAATCTTTAACTAATCCAATAATTACATTCTCAGCCTGAATTGCATTGGAAACCTTTATCACCTGTGTTTCTGCCTGCACCTCTCTCTTCATTCTAGAATGAAGAATAGTTAATTGGTCTTTTTGCATTCCACATCCCAAGGGCCATGAAAGGAGCATTGGTACAATTATTGGTAACATTCCTGAAATAATTAAACACATCTTATCTGCAGCTTTGTTGGTCCCACAGTTTACACAGTCCGCAGTCCAGGATGGGCTTTCTTCACTCGAGTGTAGTGTATCCAGGAGTCCACTCCAGCTACCTTGACTGCTGTAAAGGTGGTCAGAAATACCTGATGGGGTCCAGTCCACTTTTCTTTCAGTGGTTCTTCATTCCAATTCTTAATGTACACCTCGTCTCCTGGATGTATGTCATGAACATGATTCTCGAGAGTCAGCAGCCTCTTCCAAACAAGGGCACTCCGAAGTCGTGCTAAAGTTTTCCCAAGAGACAGAACATAGTTATATACTTCCTGTTTTCCCGTGACGTGTACATTTGGATTGGGTCCAGGAGATTCATATGGTTTCCCACACAATATCTCATAAGGACTGACTGACATTGCACTCCTAGGCTTTATCTGGATTCTCAGCAATGCTATTGGTAAAGCCTGTGGCCACTGCAGTTTGGCTTCTTGACATATTTTACTGATCTGCCTTTTTAGTGTCTGATTCATCCTCTCCACCTGTCCACTTGACTGAGGTCTCCATGGTGTGTGGAGGTCCCAAGTTATTCCCAGCAACCTACTTACTTCTTTTACCACCGTGGCTATGAAATGGGGTCCCCTATCTGATGATATCCCTAGAGGCACCCCAAATCTGGGAATGATTTCTTGTAGTAACCACTTAACTGTTTCTTTTGCTTGGTTCGTGTGACAGGGAAGGGCTTCTGGCCATCCAGAAAATGTATCAACCCCTACTAACAAATATTTGTATCCTCGAGTTCTTGGTAATTCTACAAAATCTACCTGCCAATAATCTCCTGATTCTATCCCTACCCGCACCCTTCCTAGTTGTGCCTGTCATCTAGCCACTGGGTTATTTTCCAAGCAAATCTCACACTTTGACATTATTGATTTTGCCATTGTTAACATTCGTACTGAGACCAAATAATGTTTTAGAAATTTTACCAATGCCTCTGCACCCCAATGACATTCATTACGTTTAATTTGTAGAGCCTCTCTCATTACCAAGGGGGTAATGTCCCCCGTGCGCAGTTACATACCACCCTTCTGGATTCTTATGTGCATTCAGTAAATGCACCAATTTCTCATCTTCTGCTGAATATTTCGGCTGTGGAGGTAAATTGAATTGAGATACATTGTTGTTTGCACCTTTCGAGCAGCCTGTCGAGCTGTCCAATCTGCCTTTCGATTTCCCTCACAAATTTTGGAGTTTCCTGATTGATGTGCTTTACAGTGCATAATTGCCATTTGTTCAGGTTTTTGTACTGCTCTTATCAGCTGCAGAACTGCATCTTGATGTTTAATGTGCATCCCTTGAGACAAAAACAGGCCCCGTTCTTTCCATAGGGCCCCATGCACATGCACTATTCCAAATGCATATTTTGAATCAGTCCATATGGTCACCTTTTTCCCTTCACTTAATTCTAGTGCTCTGGTTAAAGCAACCACTTCTGCCTTCTGGGCAGATGTATTTGGCAGCAATGCTTTTGCCTCTACCACTGTACTGATTGTTGTTACCGCATATCCAGCGTGTCTGATTCTGTTCTCCATGAAACTGCTTCCATCTGTGAACAACTCCCAGTCTGGCTGTTCTAGGGGGACACCTTTCAGATCTGCTCTAGCTGCAAAGGTGTGTTCTATTACTTCCATGCAATCATGTTCCAATGGGTTTTCTTCAGATGTTGTACCTAGGAACAAGGCTGGGTTCAAAAGGTTAGTTGTTTTTAATGTTACATCATCTTGCTTCGTTGAGATTACCTGGAATTTCATCATTCGACTCAGGAAGAGCCAATGGCCCCCTTTGTGTTCTGACCAGTAGTTACTATATGTGGTACATAGACATCTATGTGCCTTCCCATGGTGAGCTTCCTGGCTTCTTGTATTGGGATCACAGTGGCTGCAACTGCATGCAGACATGAAGGCCATCCAGCACTGACGTTGTCAAGTCGTTTGGAAAAGTAGCCCACCGGCCTTTTCCAGCTTCCCAAATGTTGGGTTAAGACTCCCAGTGCCAGATGCATCCTTTCATGTACAAACATCTGAAAATCTGTGGACAAATCAGGTAACCGCAATGCAGGAGCAGTTGTCAAGGCCTCCTTTAATTTGAGGAAAGCCTCCTTCTGTGGTTTGCCCCAGGTAAATGGCTGCATCTTCTGGGCCTCATACAGGGGTTTTGCAATTAGTCCATAGTCCATGATCCACAGGCGGCACCACCCTGTCATCCCAAGAAAGACTCGCAGCTCGTGTAGATTCTGGGGCTCTGGAAGGGCACAAATACCTTGAATACGGTTAGTACCCAGTTTTCGCTGCCCTTGTGAGATTTCACATACCAGGTAAATCACAGTCTGTTGGGCAATTCGTGCTTTTTCTTTAGATACCTTATATCCTGCCATCCCCAATGAATTTAAAATCTCGATTGTTACCTTTATGCAGGTTGCATTCTCCTCTGTGGCTATCAGTATATCGTCAACATACTGTAGCAGCAGGTATTGTTCTCTCGGTACTTGCCTTCTTGTTGTCCAGGTCTTCAGCTCCTTTGCTAGTTGGTTTCCGAATAGGGTGGGACTGTTCTTGAATCCTTGTGGGAGCCTTGTCGAGGTGAGCTGGGTCTTTCTTCCATTTCCTGGATTTTCCCACTCAAAGGCAAACAGGTTCCTACTTTCTTTGTCAAGGGGTATGCAGAAAAAGGCATCTTTTAGATCAATTACTGTAAACCATTTATATATCTCTTTCATGGATGTTAACAATGTCTAAGGATTGGCATCCATTGAATAAATGTCCTTAGTTATTTGTTACAGTGAGCTCAGGGGCACCCTGTGCCCCCCCTTCCCCAGGACCCTGTGACTCTGATCAAGATAACCCCTGGATCCTCCTTCCTGCCCCAACGGGGTTGGCGGAGAGCCAGGAAAGCCCACCCTGTCCAAAACCTATGTAGACCCCCTGACATTTCCTGTTCTTTCTCTTTTGCCCCGCTCTCCCATGGACACCACAGAATAAAGAGAGCAGTACCAGTACCTACCCTGGGGTAAGAGCCTCTTTTGAATACCTATACCCCTCTCCCTGGTATTCCTCCCCTCACAGCCCCTTATCTCTGACTGGTGGAGGCTTTTTTGCCTAAGAGCTCCTGAGATGCAAGGGTTCTGCTGGGATCCTCATGAGTGCATGAAGTGACTGCTGAAGCCTGGGCTAGCTCTTAGAACTCCAGCACCATGCCAGGAGTGGGAAACTGCCTTTGTATGAGGATTTACCAGAGGCAGAACCTTTAAAGCCACTTGCTCTAATGTGCCAGACACCAGCCACGACATGGACCAGGCAAAGGAGAAAGGATGACGACCTCCATCTTGAGGTCCCACAAGGAACAGTTTATTCCTGGTAAAGGGAGCAGGACAAAAAGAGCCCCTAGTTCTATTATGCAACAAGTTTTATACAGGTAAAAGTCAGGGGGTGGACACAAGCAGCTAACCACAAGGGAATCCTCAGGGGAGGAGATTACATCAAGTGTCTGGTGGCAATTGGGGTAGGAGGGTGGAGAGGATGGGTCACATGGGCCAATGGGGCTTTGAGGAGAAGGGGAATTCCAAAGGGATGCTGCAGTTAGGGATTAGCCCTAGGTTTAGGTGGCAGAGAAGGTTCAGTAATAAAGGGCTGGGTAACGGCATGAGGGACAGCTTTGAGAGAGAGTAAAACCCAGGGGTAGACCAACTCTGGGATAACATGGGGGTATAACAGAATTAACAACTTCACAAGGAATCATTAAAATAAATTCAAACCCCCACAAGTATAGCTGTTACATTCATTCCTCGGAAACAGAAAGTAAGGCCAGGGAAGCAGATCAGCTGGGAGCTGGTCACCCCATACAAAGGGCTTGGGTGATGTGGGAACATAATATTCCAGGATGGGCAAGAAGGGTAGATGTGCTCAGGTTGCAGCAGGTGAGATTTGGGTTCACCTAGAGGGCAGTCAGGGGTGGTGAGCACTGGAAGATATGATAGTAAAAGGGTTTTAAAATCATGGGGATTCAGGGTTAGAAGGAAAATTAAGCTTAGTAGGCCCCGAGAAAATACCCTGGGAACGTGTAGGCCTTATACCTTGCTAGAAATGTACCTGTGTAGCTAGTACATGATAAATGATATAATTTTAGATGTGATGATTTTTTAGTAATTAAATATAATTACTGTTTAATCTTAAGAATAATAATGAGAAACTGTGGTCAGGGGCCTAAGAAAGATCATGAGAAACTCATGCTTGAATAATATCAATGTATACAATAGAACAATATAAGTTTAATAATTAATATGTAAGTTATGTAACGATAGAATATAAAATACATTCAGCTCGAAAGCCGTGTCGGAGTCAGATTTGGGCCTGTACCCCTGATTCCCAGAGCTCTCAATAACAACATCTGCATATAATCTTATCCCGTGATTATGTGTGTTCCTGAACACTAAAAGATCCAGCTCCAGTCCCCATCCATGTCCCTTTCAGTGATGTCTGCAGCCTGGATCCAGACCGCCCTGGGGGATTCCTGTGGCTGGCTTTGCACTCAGGGTGAGGATGCCCAGGAGCCGCTGAGGTCGGCAGTGGTCACCAAGACTGGGGCTTGTTGGCTGGGAGTGGCTCTGGGGGCTGTGACATGCCAGGGCATGCGTCACAGTGGGAGCTGTGAGCAGGGGCACTTGGCAGCTGAATGACATTGTTCTGCTGGCTGTGACATCACAGAGGATAGGTGATACTGGCACCTGTGTCCAGGGGCAGCACAGGGCAGTTGGATTCTGGCAGCCAGTGAGTGCACAAGCAGGGGGAATGCTGGGCTGGATGGGAGCTGGGAAAGGTGCCCTGGGGGTTTAAAGCCAGAGTGAGAGCTGGGACCCTCAGGGCAGGGCACTGTCCTCTGGGCTGGGGGAAGAGGGGCTTGGAGCTCTCAGCGTGGCAGGTACCCAGAGAGGCTTTGGGGACATTGCGGGTGTCGCCAGCCCCCTGCTCCCTCCCAGCCAGACATGCTGAGCCCTCTTTCTTCCACCAGGCCATGTCTTTAACTGTGGCCTTCATCCTGGCCCTGTTAGCCACCTATGCTGGGAAGGTGAATCTAAAAATTGAAAAGGATGAAGTTAAACAGCTGCTGGAGCATGAGGAATATTTGTACCAAGAGATGATTCGGCTCCTGGAGGAGATTGAGGGGAGCAGTGGCACCATGGAAGCCCTGCTCTGCTCTGCGCTGGAAAAGCAGTGGCTTCTTTGGGTCAGTGCAGCAGTCCTGGTTCAGGTTCTTGCCATGGGCTGCTGGCTGGTCAGGAGAAGAAAGTGTGGCTCTGCCAGCAGGAGGAGGCAGGAGGGATCCAGCAGGAAGGAGAAGGTCAGTGAGCATGAGAAGGTCAAGGGTACAGGCAAGGGTGGCAGCATTTTGGCTGTGCCCAGCCCATCACCAATGGGCACATCCAGGAAAGGGCTGCCAGCAGCCTGATCTAGGTGAGAATGTCCCTGCTCATTGCTGTGGAGTGACACTGGACAGCCTGTAAAGGTCACTCCCAAGCTCAGCTGTTCTGTGATTCTGCAGCAGGGCCTGCCCAGCACAAAGGTGCTGCAGGAGCTGGTGGAAGAGCTCCTCGGCGTCTGCCGAGTGCTGTCCCGGAGGAACTTCATGCCGGAGCTGCACCCAGGCGCTGGGACAGACACCAGCCTTAACTGCAGCGTCCAGGAGAGCAGCAGCACCTACCGCACGCTGGTCATCCTGCGGCCACCGCCCGGCCACTCCTTCAGCCCAGGGAGCAGGAAATGGCTGCCAGCCGAGCGCATCCGTGTGGGGCTGGAGTGCCTGTGCTCCGGGGAGCAGCTGCTGGGGCACACGTGCTTTCTCCATGCCTCTGGTGGCCAGCTGCCCAGAGACCAGGAGTGGTATCTGATGGACACCCTCTGCACGGGCTCCTACTTAGACCCAGACAAAGTCACCCGCTGGGTGCAAATGTTGGTGACGTTGGCCTGGCTGCTCCTGCCGCAGTCGCGCCATTTCCAGCTGACGGCGCTGCCCTGCGGCAAGTCCTGCAGGTTCCGGCTGAGCGGCGCCTCTGGCCTGCACTGCAGCATCGAGATGGTTCTGGCCGTGCAGCAAGGCAGCTCCTGTGCCTGCCCGAGCCTTGAGTAGGCAGCAGCCGGCTCTGCCAGCAGCACCGTGCGGGCCACAGAGCTGCCACCTCTCTGACTCACTGCCACGATGGCTGTGCTACTGAGGTGACCTCTTGTATCCATCCCAAATGTAACAGAGCCTAAGTAAAAAATTTTCATCACATACTGATTTTAAACTGCTGGCGGCTGCTGTGTTCCCAGACTTGTTCTTCTGATCTTCAGCAAGGAGGTGGGGGTGTTCCTAGAAAAATAAAATACAAACTTCCTGAGCAAAACCAAGCTGTGTAACTGCATCAGTTTGGGATCTTTTGGGCAGGGTGCTAGCTTGTATTGTGTGAAGTGCATGCTACACTGCCCTTGGTGCTTCCCCCAACCTAATAATTACTATTTCACTAACTGCAAGCATAATTTAGCACCAGAGAACCTCCTATTTGTTTTCGTTCTGAGTTAGAACAAAATTAATTTGAAAACAAATAATCCCTGAAAATTTGTACCTCTTCCGCTCGAAGTTGATCCATAACAATTTTAACTAACAGAGAGCAACAGACTATAATCTTTTCTAGAAGCTCTTCCACGACTGAGGGAGCTTTTCCTGCAGCTTCTCACACCTTCTCACAGATGCCCCCCCCCATAGCCCCCCTGCTACCAAAACCAGATCATGAAAACTTAAAACAGGTATTACTCAAAGAAAGAAAAGAAAAAAAAACTACTGAAGTATTCCCCAGCACCCCACTGGAATACACACATCACTGCCTAAACCCAAGTATATACACAAAACCCCAAAATCTCTTCAAAGGCTCCGGCAGATTTTGGAATAAGTCTTCAGCAGAGAGACTGAAATCTGAGGAGTTTGTTATCCTGAAATTTTCATCGCTGTTCTGGAAATAATTTAAACAGCTTTACATCTAATTTATTCCTCATAAAGGATCCCGTTAGTGACACAGTATAATCCTTCAAATGTAAATTTTTCATATCTGCAGGTTATTTTCTACAGCATATGTGATAAATACATTTGATGGGAAATGGGTCTACCAAGTTAAAACAGCTTAATTTCCACCCACACCTCTAATCCAAAAGGTGCTGCAGTTTTGTAAATGTTTCCATTAGGATCAAGATACTGGAGTTTTAAGTAGCTTTCTTTATGGATGATTTTGACCTGATGCTTTTTCCAATTTGAGTTTATAATGCTCCAGAAATTGCCCTCTCCTTTTCTTCAGAAAAAAAAAAAAATAGTACTGCACCATCACTGGAATTTTAAATGACTGCTGCTAAATATTTAGAGGAGTTCACAGCAGTGTCATTGCATTATTCTTTGCCTTCAAAATTTGCATATCGCCATGTAATGAGAACACTTGTTCTTTTTATTTCCATTCTTTACATCTGCTGCAAGGTCCCACCTTTTACAAGAGGTGAGCAGTCTGACTTCTCATGTCAGTGTTGTCTTTTCATTTTCAATTCCTCTAATTCTGCTAGCTTAAAATGATAAATTAGACTGTTCAGCCCTACCCTGTCTGAGGTTTAGTCCCTTTTGTACACAAATGTTCAAGAAAGAGACAAGAGAAATCATTAAGAAGGAAGAGTCCTGGGTCTGTGGAAAGTGTTTGATCTGACCAGGGAGAAATGCAGGAGGAATTCTCATGAGATTTTCAGCTGATGAACAAAGGCCAGATATGAATGTGTGATTCACCTGAATTTACAGTAAAATGTGCAGGAGGCTGTGCATAATTAGACCATTTCTGTTTTCAACTGTTGGAGAGCAGGGCAATGAGTTCTGGTGTCGGGTATTACAGATGCAGTTCTCACTAATGACATAATAATTCTTTTGGCCTTTGTGCCTAACATTCATTTAAAAAGCAACACCAATTTAAAGTATTTTACTGGTGGGTGTATATAAAGAGACAAACACAGTAGCTTGAAAGGTGGCAATTTTCCATTTTTATGCAGCATCTTCTATAATAAAGGAGATATTGGAGAGCTTCAGACTGCACTGGGCTTTACCCAGCAAAACATGCTGTTTGCAACAGCAGCCTACAGTGAGTTCTCAGAGAAGTCCTAGTTGCCCATGTGAAATCTTTTCAACATTTTCCTCAGGTACTGTTGAAAGCCAAGGATTAAAGAGATTTTTGTTCTTTAATTTTTGAACAGGACATTTTTGAACATTTAAATTAAGGTAATTATAGATCTTAGTAATATACCTTTAAAACCACGTGGAGAAGACTCGCTGTCTAAAGACAGCTGTGAAGGTGTTTTTAGCATGTGGATGTGACTTTATGGTCACTTTAACTACAGAGAGTAAGCCTGACCTGGAAGTCACCCTGTGAAGAGCTCTTTTATTTCTGAAACTGGTGGAAAGGAGTGACGGGAACTTAATGGGTTTTTGTGGGGCAAAGTGCAAGGACAACATAAAAGTCTTTCATCAGTTCAAACTTCTGGTGTTTCAACTGAAAACACATAATGCCAAAACAATAAACCAAATAATTTATAATTCAACCAATATTTATGTCATGATGTAGTTTTTATTTAGAAAGCATTGAATCTTATTCCAAACAGAGTTAGTAATACCAAACCCCAAAATGTCCGGTGTGGCATGGATTTCTTCAGTTATTGGGTTATTTTGTTATTTTACCTCTGAATTGTCTGAAGGTAAGTATGGGGAGGAGAAAACAATGGTTTTGAGAAAACATTATTTTCTCAGACCACCTGTGACTTAAATTATTAATTTTGGTAATATTACGTCACATCTTTCTGTGGTGCCATTTACAATGTAAAATTCTTTGTTCTCTTGAGGAAAAGCAGACTCACTGGTTAGATGCTTGTTTCTAGAGAGATATCACATACTCACTAAAGGCTAATATTTATCTTCAGCTAATGGGCTGGAAGTCTACAAAAATTTGAATTTTATGACACTCATAGCTTTCAAATCTGTTCCTTGAGAGCTTAAGCATTTATGTAAGTCTTGCCATTTTTGAGCACAACTGCTAATATTAAATCAATAAAAATATAGCATCAAATATTCAAAAATATCTGTAAAACTAATTAACATGAAACTTTCTCCAAGACTGTAGGTGATTTTATGTGTAAACTGCTTAATTGAATAATGTTTTTTAAAAAACGCCCAGAAAATTCTTTAGGGGCAACCGCCTGGTTCCATACCAAAGATCTGCAAATAAATACCATTTCTACATTTCAAAAAACTCATAGGTATATTGTTTGGTTTATTTTTGGAGTTTCACAAGCAACACACAGCTTGATAGTGGATTTGCCAGATAACTCTAGCCAAAAAAAATGGGGAGACATTGTATTTAATCCCATATTTGAGAAATTCCTATTGCCAAGCCCTTCTGAGTTCTGAATTCACTGAATACCATATACATTCATCAAGAAAAGACAGCAAAATGCCTTGCTCCTAGTAGAAGAAAAATTGTAAAATAATTAGATGTTGATAAATATTTTTATACATTCAGTGAGAAAGGTGTGTGCTTTCAAAAATCCCAAAATAAATTAATTTGTTGGGTTTTTTTCACACAAAATGTTGCAAATGACAGGAGGCTGCAAAAATCCATGGTTTTGCATTTGAAGAGAAATGGTGGAACACTGGTCTTCAAAATTCTGTGATCCATAGGCGTGTGGAGGAAGCCATATCTGATCCCAAGTCAATCACATTTTTCATGGGATACATTTTTACAGACAGCTCTGATTTCCATTTTATTGTGAGTCAGCTCTGCAGGGGTTTAGAAGTTCGTGTGTAGATTCATCTGGATTCACGTGAGAAAAAACTTCTGAGCAATATTGCGGAGGATCAGAAATGAGACATTACTCCATGATCAATATGATCAAGTGAAGCTGATTTATTGCAAGAAATAAGCTATATTTATACTGTCTTCTACTGTTCACATGCCTCAAGCTAACACATAATTGGTTAAATCCTTCTTGCACACATTTTAAGCTTTTGGTTAATTTAGTTATTTTTTCTTCTCCATGCATCTTGTTGTGGTTTTCTTGTCTGCCTTTACATCCTAAACTGTCTGAAGTTGAGCGTGTTCTCCTTTTGTGTCCTTCAAAAGCATTGTGACCTTCTACTCAGTCTCTGTGAAGGCTGGATTGTGCATATCTTGTATATGTCCATTGTCCTGCAAAAAACTCTCAACACAATTTGACAAATTTCAGTAGAAATTAGGGTTCATCATCCCTCATTTATACACTTACAATGTTGATTGTGCTCTGTAATGTAACGATGGTTTGGTTTTGGTTTGGTTTGCTCCCCCTTTATCTGTGCAGAGGGAAGTATTTTTAAATGTCCTATGTTTGAACATGTTATATCATGCAAATCACTTTTTGGAGCCCTCTACCACGAATTCCACTAGAATTTGCAAACTTCATGTTGAAATGTACTTTTTTTTGTCCAGTTTTGTGTGTCAGAGCAAAAGCAAACACTATAAATTTACCATGACTGCCATTTTCAGCTCAAACCAAGATCTAAATAAATTTTGACCTGAAGCAGAGAACTGATAACTGTCCAGAATAAAAGCTTTACTGAAAACTATTTTCTTTTTGTATTTGAATTTTTTGATAGCTCAGACATAGGAAACCCCACAAAAAAAAAAAAAAAGCAAACTTGTGCTATGTGTTTCAGTCCATACTGGAGGCACATAATGGAATAAACCACCAAAATCAGAGTGAAATGCAGCCCAGCCACAGAAACTGCTCCATCCTCAAACCTCATGCATGTGGTCATGTACAACCTTTATTCTTTCTTTTTGTTTTTTAAATTTTTAATGAATTTGGGCCAGTTTGGATACCGTCTGTATCAGATTTAAAATTGCAACCTTTATCTGGTTCACCTTTTCCAATATTTAGCAAAATGCTCTTCCAAAACACTTGAGAGAGGCACTTCCAAATGGTCGGAGGGAGAAACTCCAAGATAATTGCAGCTAGCTGGATCTTTTTAAATTCCAGTCCAGAACAACTGGGATGGCAATACCCATGAGATGTTGTGTGTAAGCCTTCCCAGCTCAATTTCTGCAGTTCCTAAATCTGGCAATTTCAAATTCTATAGCTGTGTCAGCTGCTGGGAGTTCCAGAGTTCCCTCCATGTCAGAAGAGCACTTTCAGAAAACAACACATTTGGCTGGACATTTTCAGCTTCATAAATCTTGGCTTTTTGTTCTGCTTCTGCTGAACTTCATTTTCATGTGCAAAGTAATTTGTGAGCTTCATTGATGAGTTTGTTGTCTCAGATAAACAGCATTGCCTGGAAAGAATTTAGTCCTGATTTCCTC